ATGTTATCCTTTATCATAGGGAAAGTTGTTATACTTTGTACTCGTATATAAATACATGAATATACAATCACTCTGATTATTGGAGTTGATATCAATTCCTTATAACATTGTTTTGAATAGATATGTGATATTTGAAAACAACTAAAATATTGAGAAATTGAAATCTCTCAAATCTATGTAGTGTTTGATTGATATGAAGTAAAATAGATTTTTTTTCTTTTGGTTCAAAGTTGTCAAATAAATTCGAGTATAAAATTATGTAAGAAGGTAAAAGGATCAAATTCTCTTTTATTGAAGTTTTAGTAATACCTTCATTGTTTTATAAAAATAAAAGAAAGACCTCTAATCCTTTTTTTATGAAGCTATATTTTTAAACTCTTTTAATACAAATTATTTGCACAATAACTAATATAGAAATGAATCAAAACACTTACTACATATTTGTTAAACATTATATTAGACCTCAATATGAAACGATTAATTTTAATACGTACATACCACCGAATTTTCGATGATTTAAGATCACACGTTAGCTATGGACTTACATCATAATATACACACTATAATTTAGAAACATCAACAATGATGCAAGGTTCCACATAATATCGCTAACAATTTGAAAAACAGTGTTGGGCTGGTGGCCATCCCACTTGATGTTTAGAGCATATGCTAGATATCAAGATGTGTTCGATATGGGCGGTTGGGCACCATCACCAATAAAATACATTAATAATTCAAAATTATAAGAAACACCGAATCACATTCTCAACTGCAAGATAAGGACTTATTTTTATGTTGAGCCAAATTTTATCTGGAGAGAAATCCTCGAGGAAGGTAGCATCCATCTTGTTTTGAATGATTTATAAATTTTATAAGATATATTGTATTCCCTATGGAATTTCCCCTATCCCCGGACCGAGGTCGGAATAAGAAATGGGCACCAAAATGGGGAGAACACAACGCACAACATCCTAATCGTGCCATGCCCACCAAACGGGAAGAACACAACGCACAACGCATAATGTACAATTTACACAAAAGTACATCGTAAATGGTCAAGATTCTCATGCTAAGGACGAACGCTATCGTTTACGGGTTCACTTTTGGGTTGGCAGTACTGCGGATGGTTTGATTCCAACGGTAACAATAGTAAAATTATTATTTTTTAATAAGAATTATATTATAAATACCCCTCAATTACATTTCAAAACCACACTTCTTTTTTTCAATTTCATTGCATTTTACTCTTTAAATTTATTCTCACTTTCAATTCCATTATGAAATGAATGTTATTTCTAAGCCAGGCATATGCGAAAAATGGTCCGAAATCATTATATTTTTTTATGATTAGTTTTGAATATTTTAAGAATCACCTTGGGGTTTCAGATCATTCAAAACTTCAAATTGCTTCCAAATGGAAAGATATGCAACGAAAATTGAAAAGGTTTAATGTTATTTTCACCATCCAAATGAATACCTGGGAAGACGGAGTTTCTAACGATAATGTTTTAAACGCAACAAAATATGAACATCGCGGACACCATAACATGAAAGATTTTCTTTATAAGGAGGTGTGAATTGTTTTAAAAAATCACCGTTCTTTTTTAAAATTTAAGTATTTCTTTTAGTTTATCGTTTGTAGTATTTTTAGTATTTCTTTTATTTTAATTGTCGTTTTAGGATGTAATTTATTTTTTTATTGTAGTATGGTTTTTAATTAAATATTTTTTTTAATTATAGTATATATTTTTTGTTTTAAATTAGTAAAAGTTTATTTTAAATAATAAAAAATAAAAACATATTATGTTTTATTTTATTTTATATTTTACTGACTTAATTAAATTAAAAATAATGATGTAGTAAGTGGGTTGAATGACTTGCAAAATATGAGTTTCCATTTGTGATGAGTTGAAAAAGATGGAAAATAGAGGATAAAGAAAAACTAATGTGTATAAATGTAACATTTGTTTTCCAATATTATTCGTTTATTACTCATTTGGAGTTCATTTAATTCTATGGTTTGGACTTTGAGGATTTAATTGACCGTTGCACGATGGTCGAGAACTACCGCGACGTGGCGATGTCATTTAAATGGCGGCGCAGGTAGGTGTTGACCATGACACGGTGATGACTTTGTTCAAAACTCTAAGTATCGGGCCTTGGAGCTTATTTAAGCAACCTTATGATTAGGGTTTGCTCTCATTTCCAACCTTCATTCCCCATAAAGAAACCCTAAAGAAATATATATATATATATATATATATATATATATATATATATATATATATATATATATATATATATATAGAGAGAGAGAGAGAGAGAGAGAGAGAGAGAGAGAGGGGGGGGGGAGTATGTGTATGTTATTGGTATTTCAGTGTGTGTTCTTGGTGTTTCAAGCTTAAAGGTGATATTGGAAAGAAGAGGTGGTGATCTTGTTGCTTGAAGAGGGTGGTTGAAACTTCAGATCATGCGTCTTCTGCATCCTATGGAGCCTTGGAAGGTATATAGCCTCCACCTTTATCATTTATGTTTTCATTTCATGCTTTGAGGTTCTTTTGAGTCCTTTAGAGGAATGTTTTTGGCGTTTTGAGCGACTCCAAAACCTTAGACTTGGTTGATGGTCCTTTCTGGACTTAATCGCTTTATGGAGTTAGGGTTTGAGTTTGAGACTTGGATAAGTTGTGTTATGGATAAAGTTAGGAACTTTATCCATTAAGTCCCTTAGGAATTTCATATATGAGCTTTTGAGCTTTGGCCGTTAAGGGTTAAGTGCTTAATGGAGTAAGTTATTTGGACGTAAACGCGTCGTGGCGAAGACCTTACCACGACGTAGTGGACTGAGGAGTCCTACACTCCCAAAATTGTTTTGTCCTTTGGTGACCAGGACGCGACTACGGGTTGGTCGCGATGTGGTGGTCTGGGAAGCTTGACCGTTAACTTTGGCTAGGTTGGATTTTTGTCAACTAGAGGGTTTTAGGTTATGGACTGAGGAGTAACCTTTATTTGTTATATGTGGTTTGAGTTGTTGAATTTGTGAGGCTTTTAGTGTTGTTATTCAACTTCTGATTCAAGTGAATTTTCTCATTGTATTACTTATGTCCTAGTTGTTGTGATTAGACTGTACATCCAACTGTGCTGATAAGAACTTGACTATTGATGTATGTTAATATACTGTATTGGAGTTGTTGATGACTCGTGGTCGATGAGGGCCCGAACATTTTGTAATTGAGTCATTGATGACTCTAGGTCACTGAGGACCCGTATATACTATATTTCAGTCGTTGAGGACTCGGGGTTGAACCAACACATTGTTGTTATATATGTTCAGATATGTTGTGTTGTATGTTATAATATGAGGAGCTCATTAAACTTTGTCTTACATTTGTGGATTTAAATTTTTGAGGATTGTCGGAAGGAGAAGACGTGATTGTGTACATTCGTCAGCTGCTTCAATATTTTGTTATTTCGCATTGTTTGATACTCTGATTTTGGATGAGTGTATTTCGGAACATATGTTTTTATTGTCTTGGTTATGAAAATGATATTTAATCTTGACAAAAAATAAAATAAAATTACTGTGAAATTGAGACGTTGCAATAAATATCTATTATTTATATCTAACCATACTTTATTATATACATAACTAGTTGTGAGACCCGTATATTATACAGGTTAATTAAAACAAAATGTTAAGTACAAACGATTAAATAGAAAATTTATTTGAATTTGAATCCGAAATAAGTGAAAATTATCAGATGAAAACATACAAAAAATAAATTAATTAAAATTATGTGTTTAGTGTGTACTAAACGGGTTAATTATAAAAAAATGTTAAACATAAAGGTTTAAACTGTAAATTTATTTGAAATTGAATTTGAAATTTAAAATTTGAAATTAATAGTCATTATGGTAGTTTGATTTATGGAAACTAAATTAATGATATATTGGAAATGAAAATTAAAATAATGACAAGTGGAAAATAAATATATTTCAAATTATGACAAAATGACATGTGGCTAATTTTATAAGAGAAGAACATGTGGCAAAGTTATTTTAATTTATTAGGGTAGATTTTAATATAAAACCAGATATGTTTCCCATGCTCCACATGGGCCATGTACGTCCGATTTGAGTGTCATTTTTGTTTATAAATTAATAGGCGTCGTTGTTGATTCTTTTAATTGACTTTGGATTATTTTCATACGGATAAATAGTCGAAGACGGATAAATAGAGGGCAGAAAAGAAACAGAAAAGTTAAATATGAGGACCAATATATAAAATATTTACAAAAAAAAATGACAAACACAAAAAGTGCAAGGATGAAAATAGTAAAAAAAATGTGAGTTTCACTGTTCCTAACTCATTGTTGACTCTTTTAGCAAAAAAAACCGGGGTTTGCCCCGGGCTATTTTTTGTGTTTTTTATGATAAAATGTAAAAGTTTTGACTGTAAAGACCAAAAGTGTCAAAATGGCTAAAGAAGTAAAGGGATTGAAATTAGCAAGTTTTTAGAAAAGGAACCAAAGTTTTCGATTCCTTAAAGGTTTTTGGCCAAACTTTGAATATTAAAAGATTCTAAAAAAATATAAAATTTTTGATTGGAATGACCAAATGTCTCAAAATGGCTAAAGAATTGAGTGGTAAAGTTGACAAAAACATGATGTAAAAGTTTTGACTGTAAAGACCTAAAGTGTAAAAATGGCTA